GTTTAGCATTGAGACATATTTAGCTGATTAAGGCAGTATTGATGAAAGATGACATCACGTAATACAAGATGCAAGTTCAATTTTATTAGAAACTACAACTTTAATCTTACTTTGCGTTTTGTTAACAGTTACTGAAATAAGAAAGTCGTAATGAGAAGTTACAATAAGATTAAGATGAATGGATACTGAATAAAGAAAGTTGTGATAAAAAGCATTAATAATATGATTTGTCAGTTGGTAAATTATGTTTAGCGGCTTATCAACAACTTTATGGGTTATTTAATGCCAAAGTCTAAATATTTCAGAACAATTTTATGGCTTCAACTAAATATATTTTGAATGTAGTTGAATGCCTCCAATTACAGATAAAATGTATTCTTGGTCATGTATTGTCGGTCTTTTTTTTTTTTTTTTGCATGAAAATATTTTGCTGGTATTTTTATTATTAAAATGTATTTTTATACTTTCATAGTCTTTTGTTTGGGATTCATTATTTGCTCATAGCTTGGACTCCCTAACAGTTACTACCATCGTGGGTTAGGGTGGACCTGGGAATAACCGAAGTTAAGAGGTGGTTCCACACACATCAAAACCACCTGATCAGAGGCCTTGCTGCTGAATGTATGATTATCAATAATATGAAGAAAAAATTTTTTTAAAAACAATGGATGATGTTCAACACAAAGTACTGATAAAAATCACAATGAAAATAGAGTCTACTGAATATATATATATATATATATATATATATATATATGAATGAAGAAATATAATTTTAAGGTATGCTATATTATGGGATAAAGTGCTCAATATCAGAGATAAAGCATATGTAAATATAAAAGTGAACATTTGTTGTAGAGTGGTTTCACAGTGGAGGCTTGTATTTGTACTAAGTCGGTCCTAAAATAGGTTCGACATACAAAATGTTAGGAACTTGATATAATAGGTAATGACGCAGTAATCTAGTTGGGGTCGCTGATACTTTAATATTCAGCTAACGGTCATCCGACATTGACTGACTGCCCAACTCCTACTACTCCTAGGTGGGAAAGTCTATTAACTATAGAATAGGTGTGTTCCATTATAACAACATTGAAGTCAACAGAGGCAACAGGCTGTTTGATGCTAAGTGCAATCATCAGGCATGTATATATATATATATATATATATATATATATATATATATACACGTTTCATTAAATAATATAGACAAGTGTTGTCTATTTATTTTATGTAAAATTTGTTCGTAACATCTGATAAGTTTGATAACATTATCATTAAACGAAGAAAGAAATTCACAATATTGATCCATATTTTACTTAAGCCATTATCAAAGATGTAAATCACAAACATATTAAACAATATACGGACACGACAGTGATGATAGTCTGTCATTGTTTACATAGTTGATCACTAAGCAACGATAAACACGCAGATATAAGACGCTAGAAGCGAAAATCGCATAGCATCTCATGACGTCACACATGACTACACGAGAGTGAATTGTAGAATGAAGTAAGGAAAGCCATTGGTATAAACCAATGGCTTCTGTTACCAATTATAGACATTTAAGAATATTTGTAGAGATGCCATAATTGATAATGGCTTAAGTAAGCTGAAAGCTTAGATTATATTAAAAAAATATGGATCAATATTGTGAATTTCTTTCTTCGTTTAATGATAATGTTATCAAACTTATCAGATGTTACAAACAAATTTTACATAAAATAAATAGACAACACTTGTCTATATATATATATATATATATATATATATATATATATATACACACACACATACATACATACATACATGAAATTACATCTTAAAAAATTAAATATAATACAAGTTTACCTCAGTAAGAAACTAGCACCGATTTGTGAGTGCGGTGCAAGATTTAAAATTTTTTATATTCTGCACTTTGCTCTCTTGTGTGTATTCTTTCTTTCTTTCTTTTTTTTCGCAATCCATTTACCTTGCATTCCACTGAAGGGTTGGTACTCACAGTTTGAAAACCCTGCTCTAGTCCTTAATCATTTTGTGACTTTTTATCACAATTTCCTTCTTATTGTGACTTAATACAACTTCCTTCAATATCCTCGTCTTCTGTTAACTTTTTATCACAGCTTTCTTCCTTCAATAAACTCTCATCCACTTTAATCTGATGGTAACTTCTTGTTACAAGTTTCCCATTTCAAGATCTTTTGTCTTATTGTGACTTTTTATAACAGCATTCTTTCCTTGAATATTCGCTTGTCTTTTTGTGATATTATTGTGACTTTCTATTACGACTTTCTTGTTTTAATATGCTTTAGTCTTGTAGTGACTTTCTGTTGTAACTTTCTTGCTTCAATATCTAATTTTATTGTGACTTTTTAATACAGCATTTTTGCTTCAATATCCTCTACACCAGGGGTTCTTAACCAGGGGTATCCATACCCCTTGGGGGTTTGGAAACCAAATGCTGGTGGTATGGGACTTGATTTCTGCGTACTGGTAGTGTCCCCTACTCCCCACCAGTGTTGTGTTTGACAGATTGCACAAAACCAACAGCAAATATCTCACTAGATTAGTAAAAAAAGTCTGTTTTATTGTAGTCGAGATACTAAAAAAAAAACTTGTACATTTATGTTCTCTTCCTTTTTCTTGTGTAATAAAACTGAATTATAACTTTATTTTGCTTTCTGTAAAAAAAATATAATAAAGTTATCAATGCTTATGGGTTTTTTTTCATGTTCTATTCCTAGCAATCCATATCTAAAGGAAAGTAAATTCAAGCGATTGAAATATTTGGAAGACATAGTGGCAAATAATAGGATTGGTGATAATTATTTCGTCAGTCAAGCGAAGTGGGTATGGGACCATATTGGACAATCCATTGGGGGTCTGGAATCATCAAAAAGTTAAGAACCCCTGCTCTGCACCTTTATTAATCATATTGTGACTTTTTATGACAAATTGCCTTCAAATATTCTCTAGTTTTTTCTTAAATTAAATGTGACTTTTTATTACAATATCATGCTTCAATATTCTCTAGTGTTATTGTGACTTTTTATTACAGCATTCTTCCTTGAATATGCTCTAGTTTTTTTGTGATATTATTGTGACTTTTTATTACAACTTTCTTGCTTTAATATGCTTTAGTCTTGTAGTGACTTTTTGTTGTAACTTTCTTGCTTCAATATCCTCTATACCTTTCTTAATCTTATTGTGACTTTTTATGAAAGATTGCTTTCAAATATTCTCTAGTCATTTCTTAAATTAAATGAGACATTTTATTACAACATTCATGCTTCAATATCTTCTAGTCTTTTTTTTTTTTAACAAAATAAGGTATCATTATTTTATGCAAAAAACTGTAATCTTCTCATTCCTTTTTCTTCTCTTTTAATGGTGATATGATTTTATTTTCAGCTTTTATAACAAATATGCAAACAAGGAAACTTCATTCATTGCTATTGGGATGAGTGCGAACAAAGATACAACAATATTAATATCAAGTTGCAAACTGGACTAGAAACTGATTTATTCTTTAGGCTGACAAATTTTAACAGAATTGTTCTAAGTGAAATCTTGCTACAAGCTGCCGTTTTTGTTATGTTACAGTGACAAATATACCTACAAAAAGCACGACGCTGTATTTGCTACCAAATCGGCTGAGAAGTCATGTTAATTTCTTGAATAACTTTATAGAATAAAGATATCTTTTAATTCTTTTTCTTTTTATACAAACTTGCAAATATACACTGGTTCTAAAGAAAAACATGATCATCATATTTATTTACTTTATACAGAACACTGATCATCTAATTGAATAGCTTGAATGTTTTATTGGTCAATAAGAACGAATCAGTCAATAAAAAAAATCTGCTGCTAAAACAAGTGAGAGGAATTAAATGCAAGGGAGACAACTCTGAAAAGAATATAATTACAATATTAACATATTAATTTTTAACATGATTTCTGTCTTTAATTTTGGTTACTTTAATATTTCAATTATTCCAATCATCAGACCACAGCTGTTAGTATCCTGAATTCTTTAGTAATATCCCAAATTCCTAATAAAACACTGCTTATGTCATGGATTTCTTCGTAATTTTAGTTAATTTTCTTGACAACTCTTCAAACTATTACACATTATTTAATCATTTCATCCCAAACAAGACAATAATGCTATAAGGGGTTGTTGGGAGAAAGTGAAAGACAATGAGAAGACTTTAGAAGAAACTGGAAACCCAATCCTAAACTAGAAAAAAAGGGATAAACCTCTACTCCTGTTCAATAGATATGGCAAGAGAGTGAATCGGGTGTATTGATCGTTTTTACAGCTCATCAACCTTTTGCAGGTTATTTAAAGTCAGAGAGGATCCCCAGATGAGTCTATGTCGAAGGGCAGTGTCTTGTCATGGGAAACAGCTACCCGATGCCGTTTTATACAGGGTCTACAGGAAATTTTTGGGTGAGCCTACAGGTTCAGATACACCACATTAAATTCAGCCTTGTGCCACATCTGACTGCATGGGGCAGTTGGTAAATATCCTGCATTTGGAGATACATTGTGGAATTCACTAGACTCACTTCTAGCAGTTTACTACTTATACACACCGCTGGTGAATCTTATGTGTTGTATTATTTATTGTTCATTACCAGTATTACTAAGTATTATTGTTCACTAGAAAAAAGGGATAAACCTCTACTCCTGTTCAATAGATATGGCAAGAGAGTGAATCGGGTGTGTTGTTTTTACAGCTCATCAAACTTTTGCAGGTTATTTAAGGTCAGAATATATTTTTAGAGTGTAAGAATTTTTGGGAGATAATAATGATTTACTGATACAACTTCTACTAAATAACCTACAGCTGGGAGAGAAGATGTGGGTTCATACCTTCCCCAAGGGTATTTGCACATAAGTGAATATAACAAACTTGACTCGAATTTAAACTTGGCCCTCTGATTCTCAATTTTGAGCCATTATCTATTACACAACTGCACATCCAAGTTTACAGCACCTGGTATTCCCAACGGATCACTCATCTAGGTACTGACCAGACTCAACATTGCTTAACTTTGGTGATTGTAAGAGAACCAGTATGGCTTATGACCATATGTCGAAACACTGTGTGTGTGTATATATGTATACACACACATAGTGCGATGAAAAATTGTTGTCTAAATTACACAAAAATGAAAATAACACTGACATCTCATTTTAACAGATATATTTACCAAAATCACACAAAAATATCTTGAAATACTAAAGAGCATATTTATTCAATAAAATTGCCATTGGCTTCAACCATGGCCTCTAGACGACTTCAAAATATCCTGCAACTCTTCTGGATGGTCTCCTTGTTTAAGTTGGTGAATGCTGCTATAATCCTTGCTTTCAGTTTATCTTTGGTGTTTTGTTGGTCTTTCGCACAACTGTACCCCACAAATAATAATCAAGTGGGGGTTGCAGTCTGGGGAGTCAGGTGGCCAAATGTAAGGTGTGATGTAGTGGCAGAAAATGTCTGACAGCCATAACTCGGTTCTTCTGCTTTTGTGACATGGTGCAGAGTCCTGTTGCTAGACATATGATCTTCTAGTAGCCATCCTCTTGACCTAGGGCAATACTACCTCCTCAAGGCACTTGATGCACGCTTCTGTGTTGAGTCTGAGGTCTTGTGGGAAGATGAATGGAGGCATAATGTTGCCATTACTAGTGATCACTCCAAATGCCTTTGTAATCACCATTAGACTCATCCAACTCTTTTCGAATACTCTGCACTGTCCTCAAATTGACACCCAAACATTCTGAAATGTTCATAACTGAGCTTCTGGCATGAACGTTAAGCAGTACAGCATACCATTTCCAAATTTCTGGCAGAGTGAATTGCATTATGTTACACTTTTTCTCACAGACACTGTCCAACTAACTGTGTAGTTGACAAAATCCAAAACAAATAATACGCACACGTGAAATACAAAATGGCGACAATTTACCCATCACACTGTCTCTCTCTCTATATATATATATATATATATATATATATATATATATATATATATATATATATATATATATATGGGACCAGTACAAAAAAACTAATAGATAAAATTTAATATTTCCAATAAGCAAAATACTTTGCTGTATTTAAAAAAAACTAATTTAAATTATCTGGAAGTTTTTAGGTTTTTTTTTTTTTTTCTGAAATAGTTGATTAATGCCACTTTTTTATTGTCTTTTATCGCAATGTAAATCTCTTTATTAAAATATCTTTGCAAAATAAAATATACTTTTCTGAAATTTTAGTTGATTTAAGCATAATTAATCCAATTTGAAACAAATATTATTTTAAGTTTAAAACATTGCAGAAATGCATATTTTAACCAGATAGTAGCTGTGTTTTTAACCGACAGTAGCAATGTTGATGCGTTTTGACAAGGTGATGACAGATCTAATGTTCTATGGAAACTTTATCTGTCAAATAAAATTGAAGAAATGGCGTGAGAGCTTTTTATATTTCATTTTTAAGTACTCAGTAATATCAAAAACTTAGGAAAATATTTTCCATAATCAAATGTTTCATTAAATTTTAGAAATTTTGGCTTTAAATTTACTATGGTCATCACTCTTATTTTCTGATAATGTTGTGTACGGTCACCCTACTTACAAAAAATGGCATGTTTATACACAAATAAAAAAAAAAAATGAAAGTCTTACTTATTATAAAACGCAGATTGTGTGTGTGTGTCTGTATGTTTATATATTGGATCAGATTTCCTACATTTTTCAACCGATTTCAACAAAATTTCACAGGACTACGTAAAATTACCCTGTGGTGGTTCTGACAGTGCCAAAAATTGGAAAAACACAATTGTTTTTGCACAAAATCAATTTGAAAACATGATTAAGAAACATCGCTGTCGAGAATGAAAGGGGGACAACTCATATCGAGTTATACTTATTATAAAACACAGGTTGTTTGTGTGTATGTGTGTGTGTTCGTTTATATATGGGATTGGATTTCCTACATTTTTCAACTGATTTCAACAAAACTTCACTTTTTTTTGGCAGGTAGTGTTTCTTATTGTCTTGCATACTTTTTACTTTATTTTTACATTCAGAATGCTTTAAAAATTCCATTTACAAGACAATTGTTTATAATAAAATTCTATTCAATCGATAGACTCATAACGATTGAAAACAATGTTTGTTTGAGTTTGACCAATTCGTAAAAAAAAAACAAAAAAAAATCTAATTAAGACATGTGTGTCCGTCAACCTTAAATAATAATCTTTGTCAATTTTATTTTTCAGTCTTTATGATGGTCGATACTTGATCTATCTCTTACTGTTACATCCCCGGGCAACGCCGGGCTCTACTGCTAGTTATTTTTAAAATGTCGGTGTTTGATGATTTGTATTAAGCTTTTCCAATTATGATTAGTAAATAAAGTTTTCACTTAATAATATCTAAAATGCTGAAATTAACACAAAATTTAAAAAATTTTAAAACTTAAATTTTTCTAATTAAAATTTTTGTAAAAATCATTACTCATAAAAAAAAACACTACTTAAGTCTTCTTAAGATATCTATCTACAAAAGCAATTAAAAAATTTTCTAATTAAATAATGTCAGTTTTATTGCATTTTTTATTTTACAATTCAGAGCAGATGTTCAGGAAATGGTGTTTCTATTTGACAAATTGAAGATTTAAATTCTCCAAGGAGTCCTGCTTTTAATTACTATAAATACGAAGATCCTAGAATTTTAATTTCTTGAAATTTCATAAAATTAAGTAAATTGGGATAAAAAAAATTTTTACCAAGATTTTTCAAAAATAATTTCATTCATTTGTGGACAAGTACTGAAAATTTGATTAAAATCAAACAATTATTTGATTTTTACAAGAATTTTCAAAACACTGTTTTTTTACCATAAAATACTAATCTTTGGTCCACCTGGTGACACAAAAAAAAAAAAAGAAAAAAAAAAAAGATTTTTAACCAAAATTTCGAACATGCTAGAAGGATTAATAAAATAATAAAAATACTTTGTTTTTTCCTTGTAATAATGAACATATTATGCTACTTTGGCTTCTAAAGGAAAAATATTTACACTGTACAGAAGAAAGGAATTGTCAGTGGTCTAGAATTGAAAGCAAGAATTATTGATAGGGCTATTATACAGGGTGCGATGGTTAAATTGTCGCCATTATACGTTTTTACTTTCATGCATGTGTGTGTTTGTTTTTGATTTTCTGTGAGAAAAAGACCACCATGATGCAATTCAATCCATCAGAAATTTGGAAACGGCATGCTGTACTGCTTGGCATTCGTGCCAGAAACTCCAATATGAACATTTCAGAGTGTTTGGATGTCAATCTGAGGACAGTGCAGAGCATTTAGAAAGAGTTATGAATGAATAATGGTGATTACGAAAGAAAGAGATTGTCAGTGGTCAGGAATGAACGCAAACATTACTGATAGAATAGGGCTATTATGTATGAGGGAAATGCACTGCTAATGATTTTAATGCATTGAAAATGAGGAAGTAAGGGATTGTCAGTGGTCAGGAATGAAGGCAAGCATTACTGAGGACTACTATGTACTTCCGAATAATTATTCATTGAAAATGAAAAAAAAGGGGATTTTTTTTCTTTCTCTTATTTTTACAAGTAGTAATAAATAGTCCTCTGTCGTTTGAAGTTGAGGCAATTAAATTCCGATCGTATTTCTTAATAATATTCCAACTTGATTTCAGTTGCTTTTTTATCGAAGTCTAGGACAATATCGCTAATTAAACGGGAGAAAGTGTTTATTTCCAAATAGTGGTCGGTGACATTTTTTTAGTCGTATTTTAAAGTTAAACTAATTATTAGTAATTTTAACAATAACATTGTCATACCAAGACAGATTTTTACAAAGATAAGAAATACGAGTTCAAATTTTGCCAGAGGTTTCGTTTATTTATTTTTATTTCCAATTCATGCTGTTGGATTCGTGTTTATTTTTCTCATTTTTGTTTGTATTGACACGCATGAAAGCTCACTGGAAAAAGAGCCAGGCTGACTCAGTGACTGTCATCAGATGATCTTTTATTTTTATTTCTTTTTTTTTTTTAGTCAACAAAACAATAGGAGACAATATCAGTTAAAAAATAAAACTGAAAAGCTGTGTTAATTTAAAAATGTTAAAGACAAAAAACAAGGTGAAGATATGCTCATATCACGACTTCAGACGAAGAAGGCAGCAAACAAAATTATGTGTTGAAAAGTCTTATTTAAAGACACAAATAAAGACATCTGTCCGAAAAAAAAAAAGGGGGGGAATTTCGCGCGCGCTTAAAAAACTGTTTTGAAATTGAAAGTATTGTTTTGATGAAGAAATAAATTATTTTAAATTCATCAGCGATTTTCGATTTTTTTTATGGCGGCTGAAACTATAAAACATAATAACAGACTTTTTAAAATTACGACAACTGATTATTTCGAATAATAAGGACAAAACAATTCTTGAAAAAAATAGCAGGAAAGCCACACTTACAAACAACCAGTCCACTTGTAACCATGTGGATAAAAAAAAAACAGGATGTACTTTGAGTTATCTCCCCTTAGTTACACCCTAAGTCTTCTTGAATTCATTTTTCAACCTAACAATAGGTCAAGAAAGATGTCCTTATCTCACTGAGAAGTATCCAATGAAAATTGAAAACTTCAATTCTTATATTAGTAAAAACAATGCTTGTCTAATAGTACAAAAAACAGATGGATATAAAAAAAAATTTTTGCGGGGGAGGGAATGACAATGTGGGAAAAATGTTTTGAATTGACGCGTTCGTCCTTCAGGACTTCATCGGGCTAAGAAAGAACTAATTAAATTACTAAACGAAAGGTAGACTATAGCGATTTTCCAAGCGTAACTTAGATGTGGCACAAAGAGAGCCGAAAGTATGGGCTACCCACTCAGTCGTAATTATTCTAGCGAGACAAGCTTGTTAACCACTACACCGCCTCAAGGCCCCCTCTGATTTAGGATTATGTACCCGAAACAAAAAAGTATGTATATTGTATAATATGTATATATTTATTTAAAATTCTCAGCGCAC